GGGTGGTTGGTGGCAAACCTTATCACAGACCTCTCTCCAGCCTACTGAGCTATGCCAGACCCAGGCTCAGAAGGACTCACAGCACCTCCATTCATCACAGCATCCCAGACCGCTGGCTTGGCATCTGTAAGGAAAAACTTGCTCCATCCAATCTGCCACTGTTGTGGTGTCAATATTAAGTCACACATTTCCCCCTAAAAGGGTGGTTGGTGGCAAACCTTATCACAGAATCACAGAATCGCAAGGGTTGGAAGGGACCTTGGGAGATCATCTAGTCCAACCCTCCTGCTAAAGCAGGTTCTCCTAGAGCATGTTACACAGGACTTCATCCAGGCAGGCTTTGAGTATCTCCAGAGAAGGAGACTCCACAACCCCCCTGGGCAGCCTGTTCCAGTGCTCCGTCACCCTCAGAGTAAAGAAGTTCTCCCTTGGGTTCAACTGAAACCTCTTATGCTTCAGTTTGTACCCATTGCCCCTTGTCCTGTTGCTGGGCACCACTGCAAAGAGTCTGGCTCCGTCTTTATGGTTTACCCACCTGGGCAGGTTGCTCGCTTCCCAACCTGTCCCCTACTTCTCTCACTGTACTAGGAGCAGGTGGCATCAGTAATTCAGGGATTTTTATTAGTTTTGCTGGGTTTTATGCACCAGGCTGAGGTGGGATCTGACTCCTTTGAACCATTAAGATCACGGGTTTCTCTGTAATGCCAGCACCCAAAGGGAGTGCAAGCCTGGAAAGGGATACCAGGCACATACCACTGCCATCGTTTGCCAAGAGAGCCAGATCTGCCTTTCTCCTCTGAATGCTTTTGAGGTCCCTTTCCTAGAAATGACACCCACAAACAGTGAACTCTATGGAGACACTACTGGAAATGATCATGTATGACTGAGAATGCTGAAACTAAGTTTATAATACTCAACTGCTGCAATGTGCAAACAGTGCTAAATGCTAGAAAGAGGCAACAGCCACCTTCCAAAACTGTCTTCAGGTACATAGGATCAAGCTAGTCACTTGTCACAGCCAAAGCAGGTGCATGCTTCTGCTTGACCCCTAGGAAGTCACAGTAAGGATTATCGCCACGTAGGTCTTCATAGAAAGATCATAAAACATAAGATAAAAAAATTACTATTAAGTTGACTAGTCTAGCCACCCTTCCATCTCTTACAAGTGCAAAGTGAATGATTTGCATGGGGAAGACCAAAAGTTTGAAGTGTGTGGGGTTAACTAAAAACAGCAATAGAGGCATGACAACCGCACGCCACCAGCGCACAATTCTTGCATAGCTGCTGCACTGAAGGGAAACAAGGCTACAAATTACTTTCAGAGCTGTATATTTCCTTTTGGTTTAAAAACTACAGCCTGGTTTTCAGATCATTAAAAATTCATCCTGCCTGCAGATAAGTTTTTATGATTTTTAAAGACTGGTTGAAAATATAAGTGAAGATATGCAGTTGGTGTGACAGTGCCCTCGGGGATGAGCAGCTCTGTGCACTGGTGTTTTGGGAAGTCTTCGTACACCAGCGCTGCTACCCCTGGGTTAACTGATTCCACAGAGGGCACTCACTGACATGGTGTTTCATGCTGCTGCAGGATTCCCTGGGAGGTTTCGGGACATGGTAAGGCAAGGAAAAGCAGGCACTATTCCCGAAGCAGGGCCACCGCACGCCAGGAGCAGTGCTGCACGCTGTGCTTCAGCTTGTGATGGTGGGACGGGAAAGGGAGCAGAGGAGGAGAGCAGCAGCTCGGCAAATCTCTGCTTGGCTGATTTGTGTCCAGAGACACCTCCTTATCCTACATAGGGTGGGTGGTGATGCCCTCCGCGCTTATTTTGCGTGCAGGTCCCTCTGCTCAGTGCTCAAGGTCACGGGCCATGCTGATGCTCTCCAGGTGTGGGAATGAACTCCCTGGGTGAGCATCCCTGTGGGGGAAAGCTCACATCCCTGGCATAAAAATCATCCCAAAGGAGGCAGCACCCCACGAGCACCCCTGCCTGCAGAGCCTCCCCCCTCTCCTGCAGGGCACGTGGTGAATCCTCAAACCCCCTGATTTCATGCGCCAGGGAGGTTTAACTTCAAATTGTTTTCAGGCTGTTGCTTTTGCTGCAGAAATTTTGTTTTGACACACGTCCTTGTGTTTGGCATATTTGTTTCATAATGGCTCCTGCGGTCCGTACCCCCAGGACTCTGACAGGAAGATTCATCTCGATGCCTGGTTCGAGTGGTCTGCTCCAGATCTCGTCTCTTCAGATGGGACTCGGCAAACAAAACTTCCTCTGTGAAATAAAGGATTCAGACTCTCACCATGCAAGAGAGGCCTCCTGAAAGACTCTTTCATGTGGAGCCAAAGAGACTAGAGAGCGTCGGAGTTTTAAAGACAAAATACTGCCGTCAGAAAGGTATACAGACTTCATACAGGAGGGACCCTTCATGTGTTGGCAGCCTTTGAATTCCGCGTTTAAATAAAAGATTTGTCTTTAGACTGAAAAAGTGAAGCTGTTTATGAGTAATAAAGTGTAATGCTTTTTTTTTTTTTCCTGGACGAAACTGCTATTCAATATAAAATTAGCTGGCTCTTTTGATTTATTGAAAAGGCAAACTCTTGTTTCGCCTTGGGAAAATAGCACATCATCCAGCTCACCAGGTTGCAGATTCCTGAGAGATGAGGGTGTTGGTGCTGCTGAGGCTGGGATTAGCTTTCATGTCACCACCCAGTCTGAGGGAGTACGGTTCATGTCTTGGGCTACAGCACTGACCAGAGATGATGGGACCGAAGCCGATGGTGAGTATCATTGCTGGGAACTGGGGGTTGTTAAGAAGTTTTGCACTGTACATATTAAGCATTTGGCTTTTAACAAAGGTTTTTCATTGCTGGTGTATGTGAATGTAATTAGGTCTATAAAGCTATTTTAATGTTTTAATTTATTCTTACATACGATACACCAATGTTTGAATGTCAGCAATGTCCAACAGGAAGCCTCACGTAGTTTTGTCCAACCTGAGGTGTGTCCTGCTCCCTTTTGTGGTTTTTGGGGTCCCCCTTTCACACTCCCCACTCGGCCACCAGCAGGTCCGGCTCCCTCCCCACAGCCAGCAGGCAGCCCCATGGTGGCAGCAGCCCCGGGACCACCTCAGCTTTGCCTCCTTTGGAGGTTGCAGGAGATATTTTCTTGTCTGGGGCTACTTGAGCTTTTGGGCACAGCTAATAATTGTGGAAGGTGCTTCCTCTGTGGGAAGGTACCAGCAGAGTAGAGCAGCTCCCAGGTTCCTGAGGCGTCTTCTCCTGCTCTCTTAAATACACAAGGGCTATGCATTCCTACTGATGCTTGATCCACTGCAAGCCCTTAAAGACCAGATTTCCCTGAAACATGAAGCACTCCCCTCTCCTGTGGTCTTCTCTTAGTTTTTATAGCAGTATTAGACCCAGGAAGTTTTGGTGTCACTGCTGCTTGTGATTAAAGCACACCGCGGGCACACAAGATCTGCAAAGGTAGAACTGTCAGCTCAGATAAGTGCTTGCAGCAGTGCCCGGAGTACGTCCAGCGCGTGTGCCCTATCTCCTTCGCTGTAAAATAATTGCGGGATGCGGCATCCTCTTAGCTGTCTTCCATCGACTGAAATCCTCATGTCACCCGCTCTTGCCAGGGCAGCGCCTTGTTCTGACACACGGGCAGGTGAAAGCCGCAGGGTAACATCTGTAAGGCGGGGAGGCAAATACCTGGGGCTGCTTTTCTTAGTGCTTTATTTGCTTAATATGGTGCAAGAGTACAACATAAATGTTTTTGAAGGTGCATGTTCTCAAAGTGTTCCCAGAAGTACCTCAATTGCAGCTGTCAGTAAGGGGTGTAAAGAGAACCTCCCATTTCTGCACATTTTAAACCATTTTCTATGTCTTTCCTATTAAAAATAAAAAGCAGAGAGCTAACAGGCAGAGGGAGAAGTTCCTGATGGGAGCAGCAGGTTTGCAGTTGCATCTGAAACTTGTAGCCACTGGAGAAAACCCCAGGAGAAGGGAGCCGGCAGGGAGGGGAGGTGGGGTGCTCCGCCGGGGAGAAGCTGTGTGGGAGCTGCTGCGAGCACCTTGCCTTTCCCTGGCACTCACTGGGGGACGGTGGTGCTCCGAGGGTGCTGGCGCCCGCAGACCAGCCTGACGCATACTCAGGCCAAGGCTTCTGGCAGCCTTGGCCTAACGCCACGCTGGGTTTCAGCAAAAAATGTGTGTAGGCATCGCACATCCAACGCCTTGTACAAAGCACTTGCAAAAGGAGGAAAAAACATAAAGAGCAATTGCAGCTCTCCTTAATTTACACATTTTCTTTAAGGCTGTGGTAAACAGCAGCAAAACGGCAAGGAGGGGAAGGCTGCAGGGGGCTGCAGTTTTGCAGCAGGTTGGCAGCAGCCCGCTGCCGGGTGAGCATTTCCCTTCTCCCAAGGCAGTGGTGGTCAGGACCTGGGAATGGGAATCCCCATGAGTTCCAAGAGACCACGCTTAAAAGCTTGAGCAGAGACCTGGGCTTTGTCCATGGGGATTTCTGTCTGGGAGTGGAGAGGGACGGCGTGCGTTCCCACTGTGCTGGTGTGCCCGGGCAGGAGAGAGGGGGATGGCGTGGGCAGCCGTGCTGAAGCAAGATTGTGCATGAAACTGCACCCAAGTCATGCTCCTGATGGCCCACAGCTCCACTGCCCAGCCATTGGACACATACCCCTGCCACAGAGATAAGATGAGAGGAAATAGCCTCAAGTTGCACCAGGGGAGGTTTAGATTGGACATCAGGAAAAATTTCTTCACTGAAAGGGTTGTCAAGCATTGGAACGGGCTGCCCAGGGAAGTGGTGGAGTCCCCATCCCTGGAGGCATTCAAAAGAAAGGTAGACGTGGTGCTTAGGGACATGGTTTAGTGGTGGACGGGTACAGTTGGACTCAATGATCTTAAAGGTCTCTTCCAACCAAATGATTCTATGATCATTTCTTGGGGGGCCCCAAGCCCCTCAGCATGTCCCCCTGCCATGGGTTCCCCTGGTCCACGGGTGGGAGCTGCAAAAGGGGGTGCAGTTGTGCATGGACCCGGCCTGCGCTTCCCATGGTGACTGTGGAGTTGTGACACGTCAGCGGGCCCATGATGTCATAAGGTGCCCACTGGAAGGCTGCAAGAGCACCTGCGGCTCCGCTCACGCGCTCACCTCCAGACGAAACTCTTGAGGCAATTTTTCCCCCCCAGCGAGTGCAGGCTGCCACGGCTGCACTCCTGCCCTCATGCACTTCGCAGCGTGACGATGTCGTTGCACGATCGCCTTTTGGAAGATGCCAGGCAGGATTTCAGGCAGGCGGAGAGAGAGATGCAGAGGCAGATGAGGCTGCTGGACCTGCACGTGCGGCAGCTCTGCGAGGAGCTGCCTGCGTCCTGCCCCCGCAGCCTGGCCTTGCACCCCTGCTGCCTGCACCAGCCCGGCCTCTGCCCCTGGGAGGGAAGGGCCCTCACCGCAAGGCTGGATGTGGAGCGAGAACTGGGCAGGTAACAGATATTTGCCTGCTTTCTATGGGCGTCTGCATCCTTTAAGGCAGGATGAAGGGAGGTTTGGCATCGGTATCGGGAGCAAAGGTGGAAACAGATAAGCAGTATGGGAGAAAAATAACCATTTTCGGAGAAATGAGTTGAAAGGAGAATGGGAGGGCACAGCTTGTTCAGCCAGGCAGCCTGAGAGGAGCCACGCAGGCAGCGCCTGCACCAGAAAGGCTTTGGACTATGGTGTTGTGACATGAATCATCTCACAAACTGTGTCTAAAGTACACAACTAGATCCAAAGCCGTTCAGCTGTGGAACAAAGTCCATCTTCAATGTAAATTCAGTTTAAGTCTGTTAAACACATAATTATCTTCATCAGTAGCCAAAATGTGCCTGGATGCAGTGGGGTGCAGCACGGGTGCACCATGGATGTGTGTCCCTATTTTCCCCCTTTGTACGATAAGAGAAATAAGCATCAGGGTTTCTACATCTCAATTTTGACCACTGTGTGATGATTTTATTTTTTTAATGGAGTTCAAGATTGACTCTAGTAGAGATAAAACCCAAAAGTAGCCCTACAGGAAGGGAGCTGTGGAATGATAAAACCATACCCTTCGGGTTAAGGCACAACCAAACATTGAGAGACCAGAAGAACTAAGAAGCCCCTTGGTCATCAGCAGCAGTGAGAGTCTCTTGCTGCATTTGTGGCATTGGTATTTTCTCCCCAAATGCAAACTTCTGTTTGAGTTCTCTTATGTTGTGCCTGGAGATGATGAGACCTTCATCTTGGCAATTAAAAAGGTGACATTTTCGCTACCATTAGAGCAGCAAGTATCAGCCCACGGTCTGCCACATGCATTACCTAGTGGGTGCAATCAAGTTAGAGGAAAAAGGAAAAAGCCTGACCGCTGGGTTAATTTTACACTTCAGCAAAACTGAAAGTTGCTGTGAGGTTATGTTAAGCTTACCCAGTGACCGTGGCTCATGCAGGGCTGTCAAGCAGCAGATTTTGGATCTGGGCTCCCAGGTGCTATGGTGGCTGCTGTCCATGTCCAGATTTTCATCAGTGCATTGGGTACCAGAGATAGGCAGGCACAGCATCCACTTGCAGAACTATTGCACACCAAAATCCCAATGAAGGAATGGAAATTCAGTCTGAATGAAAGCCGGGAGGTCTTTGAACAGGCTCTGGGATGCCAGGGCATGCTCTCCCTGAGTGCTAGGCCCCCAGCCCTGCCACGTTCAGGACAACTCCCAGGTTTTAACACAAGTCCATACAGCTGCATCTGAAACCACACCACAGCAGGATTTCAGCCCATTGGGCTGGGAAATTCATAGAATCATAGAATGCTTTGGGTTGGAAGGGACCCCTAGAGGTCATCTAGCCCAACCCCCCTGCAGTGAGCCAGGGACACCGCTAACTAGATCAAGTTGCTCAGAGCCCCGTCCAACCTGGCCTTGGATGTTTCCAGGGATGGGGCCTCCACCACCTCTCTGGGCAACCCATTTCAGGGTTTCACCCCCCTCATTGTCAAGAATTTCTTCCTTATATCCAGTCTAAACCTACCCGCCTTTAGTTTAAAACCATTACCCCTTGTCCTGTCACAGCTGGCCCTACTAAAAAGATTTTCCCCATCTTTCCTATAGACCCTCTGTAAGTACTGAAAGGCCACAATCCTGTCTCCCCTCAGCCTTCTCTTCTCCAGGCTGAAAAACCCCAACTCTCTCAGCCTGTCCTCAGGAGAGGTGCTCCAGCCCTTGGATCATTTTT